TGCTGTAATGATGGCTAAATATGAAAGGATCCACCTATTATTTCCAGTTCTCTGGTGCTTCCTCTTATTTTCACAGTATCATCAAAGAAAGACATATGTACTTTATAGTAGATTTTAGCCAGAAGTCTGAAAACACCAGAGATACAATTAGCCATCATCTGTAATCCAGCTCTATGGCTGATTCCCTGCCTGTACAATGGAACAGATATAATCTCACAGCAAGGTTTACAGGCAAAATGTTATTTAAATCAGGAATTGGTTAATCAAATATAAATTGGTCACCTGCCAGGCAGCAGACTTGTAGCGGTGAATAAAACAGATGTAATTCCTGCCCTTAAGGAGCTTATAGCAGTGAGTTTACATGGTTACTAAAACATAGCTTCATTTTGTTCCCTGAATAATAAGAGCCTACATGAAAGAGAAAGCTCTACAAATAGGAATGAGTCATCCAGATAAGACTGTAATAAATAAATGTAATATAATTAAATATAATGAATGAGAGCTTATTTCTCATAAGATACTTTTCAAAAATGCTTTAAGCCACTATGTTAATTAACAACTTATGTTTACCTTAATTATATTTAATCACCATATGCTATCCCATTTAGTCCAACAATCCTCTGATTTAGGGACTATTATTCCCATTTTACAGATGAAGCAAAGTCTAGTAAGGGAAGTGACTTGCCAAAAGTTACACAGCCAATGAGTGGAATATCTGGAATCTGAATGTGAGCGATATGGCTTCAGATGTGAAGATTTATAAATGTCTGAGCCAAAAAGAGAAAAAACTCAATTATCTTTTCCTGAAAGAGAAAAAACTCAATCATCTTTTATCTTTGAAGGTGGTTCTATTCTCCTGTACTTCTAGTATATTTTTAATTTTAAAGAAAACTTATGTGAACTTTTTCCCATAACATTTAGTTTAATTCAAAAACTCAAGAGAGGGAAACTGAAATGGAAGAGTTAGTGAATGAAAAATGACTACTACGGTCAACTTATCAATGCAGTACATTTACTGAGGGCATACTGTGTGCTAGGTATGATCCTGGACCCTGAAAGTACACTGGTAAATATGACAGATAAGGTCCCTGCTCTTACAGAGTATAGACTAAGGTCAGAAAGCATGGTAAGTATAACAAAACCAGATAATTCACAATCTAGTCTCAACATGTTTAACTGGGTCTTGAAATATACTATGGAAATAACAGCAGGTAATTCCAACCACTAGGCTGGAATTCCAGCCTATTCTCGTTATCTGAAAATTTTTATGAAAGCCAGTAAAGCACATTCAATTCACGGAAACCAACTGGTAATCTCACATAGGTACTGTTTATGGTTAACAACAAGACATGTTTTTTCAGGAGCACAGAAGTAAACTGACAGCCGAAAGCTAATTCAGAGTTACCAGCAAGGCAATTTTGAGCAGTAGAAACAAAGTTCTCCAAGAAATGCTAAAGAGCTCCTCTTGGATGGAAAAGTACATGTAAACACTGTCTGACATGAAGATTCAAACATGCAGAACCAATTATAAATGAGCAATATACCATTTTTATTGAAAAGGTTTAAAGAGTAATTTATCTTAAGTGTAACGCTCAGATATGAGAACAAATCAGACCAGTGGACTTATTGTGGAGAAATACCAGATAGCTGCTTGAGGCAATGTCTGGGGTCTGAGGCCTATGGAAACTAAGTAAGGGTAAAGCCTCAAAAACAATGTTACAGGTAAGACACGGTGACAGGGTAATTTGATCCTTGATTCGCTCGATAGCCAAAAGTCTAGGAAGAGAAGCACATGACACTGTTCAGTAGAGCCAGGCACCAGAAGGCCCAAAGGGTGAAAGATCATTAAATGGAAAAGGAAATGTTAGCTCCACCCCCACAGGTGGAGAGTTTTAGAGCAAGATGCTCAGAAGGACTGTAAACAAAGAGGCAACTTTTTGTCATTAAATGAGAAATCCCTACTGTTGGCCCTCATTTTTAATTGGGGAAAAAAGTCAGAACCCAGATTTTCTGGAATTTTGGTTAGATTCACTGACTTAGTTTTCTAGTGAAAAAAGGATCTCTGTTAGGGCAAGCTCTAGGTTTCTTACTGGTCTGGTCTACCAGAAGTCAGGCAGACAACTGGTATTTGTAGCCATTCTTCTATGTCACGTGCTAGTACACTGAACCTCTCGCAGCACGTTGTAGGAGACAGTCTAGTAATTCCTAGACTATCTGGTTGCTTACAAATGGCAACTGGAGAGTCTCCAATATAATGAAGTCAGTTGGAGAGGGAATGAAGCCAGCTTGGTAAAAATTTCATCTACAAGATCCCTCAAACCGAGTAATGAATCATGTAAAAGAGAAAAGGACAGTCCAAACACTGTGTAATATTAAACCAATACAACAGACAAAAGATAATATGTTAGGAATTGGTCGAAAGGGTTACTAGTCAGTAAGTACTAATGATTTTACCCATTATGAAGTTGTTGCTTTTGAGCATTCTCAAAATATGTATTTTTTTTTAAGATTTTATTTATTTGACAGAGACACAGTGAGAGAGGGAACATGAGCAGGGGGAGTGCGAGAGGGAGAAGCAGGCCAGGGAGCCCGATGTGGGGCTCGATCCCAGGGCCCTGAGATCATGACCTGAGCCGAAGGCAGACGCCTAATGCCTAAGCCACCCAGGTGCCCCAAAATATGTATTTTTTAATTGATTTTAGAACTATGTGAATGTATTACCCATTCAAAAAAACATTTTTAATATTATTTATACAAATATTTTATTTTTTTTAAAGATTTTATTTATTTATTTGACAGAGACAGAGACAGTGAGAGAGGGAACACAAGCAGGGGGAGTGGGAGAGGGAGAAGCAGGCTTCCCGCTAAGCATGGAGCCCGATGTGGGGCTCGATCCCAGAACCCTGGGATCATGACCTGAGCCGAAGGCAGACGACTAACGACTGAGCCACCCAGGCGCCCCTACACAAATATTTTAAACCAAGAAAGTATAGTTTGTTCAGAGAATCAAATGGGCAAGGTAAAAATAATTTTGCTTGGCCTAATATATAATTTGAGATGAAAAGATAACTGGTATTTCATTTAAAACAGCATTTAAAATTTAATCTTACCTATATTTCATAACTTCAACTATATCGTCAGCATCTTCTTTGGTTGCTTCCTCTCTTAATTCCAACCTTGCTCGGGCCTTTGAAAGGAAACAAGCATTTTTAGATAACAAAAGTAAGTATATTTACATAGCTTGAGCAGGATATAATACGTTGAAGCCTATTTCATTTATTCATTTTACACAAAAAGTGATTTTGGGGGGAGGGAGACTAATATGAGAAGTAAGAATAAAATTATTGGAAAACTTGAGTATGAAAACACTCATTTAAAATATGGATGAAAACCTGTTTGTATCTACTAACATATCTCTTTCTGAGTGTTCATTTCAGAAAATTTGATTATGAAATACACTTGGTTTTTCTTTGCTTTTACTTTCAGGAGATCATGCCTAACCAATTTGTTAAAACAACATAGAAGGATAATCTGATTTTAAACGCAAAAAGCCCAAACTCCAGCTAATTTTAACTGCCAGAGTTCTCTTAGCATTCCAAACCTGTGAATAAATGTTACTGCTGTTAGAAAAATAGGTACTATTGTTATGGACTTGTCATGTATCAAATCAAATACTGACACATTCCATGTTTCCATATATTCAACTTAAAATCTTAGACTCCTTAATTAACCTAACCACTTGCCACACTCCAGGAGTCTTAAATGTCAATAAAAGGGGGGGAAAAAGTTGCATGGTATGTAACTGGTCCTGTGCCTAGAAAGAAGTGGCTATACTTTGATTGGTTATGATACAGATATGACCATTTTTAAAAATTTTATGCATCCATTTATAATGTCTCTTAGTTGCAAGAAAAATCAATTACGCAGGAAAAAGAGAAATCGTATCACCTCTTGCCCCCATTTATAAGTCAAAAAAGCATGAACTTAAAATAAACCTCTGTTAGACGAATCAGAGATTCCAACTGTCTAGTGGTGATGGGTGAGCTATTTAACCGCTGGCTCTGTTTCCGAAGCTCAAGGTAAAAATCTTGAAGAATCTGAGCAGCTTCTGTGGATAGCCTTGGATAGACATACTGCCGAGCATAACCAATGTACTTTCTCAACAGCTGGTGGGGAATTAGATCTATTGTTTCTCCAGGAACTACCTAAAGCATGATAAAAAGGCCCAAGATTATAAGGATAGCAAATAAAATCTTTCTGTTAAAATAACTTGAGATACATAAAAAATTCTAAAAGACTTTCCAAATAAGCCAAACACTGTAGTTCTAGCTCTGAGTATAGTTGGCTTAGATTATTTCAAATGAAGTTTACTACTACTGTAATATAAAAGGTTTTGGCATGAAAGTGATATACTACTGCTCTACAATAAGCAACATACTGAACTCTGACATTCAAACAGAACGGAAATGAATGATTAAGAAAGAGAAGCCTACCTTTAATCTTTCTGATAATGGTTTATCAGACACCACTTCAAGTACAGAAGTATTTGAATCCTGACTATTTATGCGAGCTACGGTGGCACTGCTAACAGTTCTCTGCTTTCCCGCTCTTATTGCAATCACATGTTCAGAGAGTAAGTGATCATGATCCTCATTTGGGGTGTCTAACAGGATAAAGACCAAATCAAATCGGGACAGCAGGGCGCTCCCCATTCTAAGAGGCATAAAAGAAGAAACAATGATTGAATCAAAACAAATAGAAAACCATTTACTCACTTGTTTACTATTCAAGTTCCACGTAGAACTTTAAAAAAATATTTAAAAAATAAAGTTTAAGTTAAAGAAACAAGCAGTAACTTTTGGATTTGATACATGCACCAAATCTGGAGAGACACCCTTCAACATGTAAACAAACCATATATGTACCTACCTTTGGTAGGTTGAGGACAAGGCCCCTTCTCACACAATCTTTTTTTTTTTTTTTTAATTTTTATTTGTCAGAAGAAAGAGGAGAGAGCACAAACAGGAAGATGCCAGCAGAGGGAGAAGCAGGCTCCCTACTGAGCAAGGAGCCCAATGCGGGACTCAATCCCAGGACCCCAGGATCATGACCAGAGCCGAAGACAGACGCTTAAAAGTACCTGATGGTGAGCTTCACAATGACTTTGAATTTTAAAACACATGCTATGTGATTCACCAGAGGTTATCTAGTTGGGTGGTTTTAATTTTTTTATGTTTTCTCTCACCAAAACAGTCTCTCAATGCATCTGTGATCACTTAAAAAAAAAAAAGCCCACTTTTTCTTAAAAGTCATTATAATCGGGGTGCCTGGGTGGTTCAGTCAAGCATCCACCTTGATTTCAGCTTAGGTCATGATTTCAGGTTGTGAGATCAAGCCCCGTGTCAGGCTCCATGCTGGGCATGGAGCTTGCTTAATATTCTCTCTCCCTTTTCCCTGCCCCCTCTCTCTCTCAAAAAAAAAAAAAAAAGTCATTATAATCATTATAATAAAAATGCTGTGTTCTAGTCATCTTCCCTGATCCCACCAATCAGATAGTCCTTCTGAGACAAGAAAACTAAAATCCAGAGTGATTAAAGAATTTGGCCAAGGTCCCAAAGCAGGTTTGTGTGCCTCTAAAAACCAGAATCCAAGTCCTTGTTCAATAGGATCTTTCTGATTTTCCCAATAAAACACTTTTTCATTTTACTAAGAAAAACTAATAGATTGACTTTTTTGGTGGTGGTGGCATAGCATCTCCAAGTACAATTGTATATTTTGCTATGTATCATTTTTATAGTAAAGGTACACATTATCATCAAACATTAGGAAATTTTTTTTTCCTCTAGAATTTAAGCTTCCAGTTTTTCACATGAGGCATTCTTTTGTCTTTTTCTCACTTCTGCATCATTTCAATCTATTTCCCCCTTTCTATACCTTTTGTCCAACCTATACAGAACAAATTAGAAGAAAAAGCATACACACATACAAATACAAACTGTTTTTGGAAGTGGGATCATACCCCATTTACAGCAAAGCACAGAGCTATCAGCACACACAGAGCTACTTCCATTTTTATAATTGCTACTTTCCACTGTACAGCCTTGCCATAGTTTAACCACTTCCATATCAAAGGGCATTTTAAGTTGTTCCCAATTTTTGGTTGTGATAAATAATGCCATCATACCCAACCTGTAAACACATCTCTGTGCATTTGTGTGACTATTTCTGTGGGTATGATTCCTAAAAGTAGAACTGGCTACAACAAATCGAATGTACATTTAAAATATCAATAAACAGAGGCACCTAGGTGGCTCATTTGGTTAAGTGTCCGACTCTTGATTTTGGCTCAGGTCATGATCTCAGGGTTGTGAAATCGAGCCAAGTCAGGCTCCACACTGGGCATGGAGTCTGCTTGCGATCTCTCTCTCTCCTCCTCCCTTTGCACCCCCCACCACTTGCTCGTGCTTGCTCTCTCAAAAAAAAATAGTAATAAATATGCCAGTTGTCCTTCAGTATGTTAACTTGAATATGTGAGAACCCATTTCCCCAACCCTTTGCCAATAATGATTATTAATATTTAAAATGTTTGCCAATCTAATAGCTATCAATGATACTTCACTGTTTTAATTTGTAGTGCTCAAACACGTTTTTGTACATTTACTGGAACTTATCATTTCTGTGAACCATCATGTCCTCAGTTATCTTTTTCTTAGTGATTTATAAGGCTTCAATATACTAAAGGTATAAATATCTAGAGAGACTTACTTTAAATTCTCAGAAACTGTTTTGGCTTTATTGTAGTGTCCTCCAACTGGATTTGCAGCAGCAATGATGGATGTTCTAGCAGGGAGGCTACAAACCATGCCAGCCTTAGCAAGACTAATACTTTGCTGTTCCATAGCTTCTAACAAGGCTTGATGTTGATTCCCCATCTTATCAAATTCATCTATTCCACAAATACCTACAATCACAGTAAAATAATACAGTTTTCCGTATTGGTCAAGTTCCAAATCTTACAGGATGGAAACTATTTCACCATAAAGAATTATCTGTAATTCGGGGCGCCTGTGTGGCTCAGTCAACTGTTAAGCATCTGCCTTCGGCTCAGGTCATGATCTCAGGGTCCTGGGATCGAGTCCCGCATCGGGCTCCCTGCTCAGGGGGAAGCCTGCTTCTCCCTCTCCCACTCCCCCTGCTTGTGTTCCTATTCTCACTCTCTCTCTCTGTCAAAAGATAAAATTAAAAAAAAAAAGCTTTTAAAAAAAAGAATTATTTGTAGTTATTTCCAGCAGTTAAAATTATAAAATGTCATATGGTTGAGAATGTGTATTTGTTTTACAGCAAATAAAACACTTGTCTTAACTTTTATGTAGTATTTTCTCATTCAGCATTTTCTGTAGGCAAGGCACTGTGTTGTGAGGGCTATAAAAATGAAAATAGGAGAGTGACCCTCAAAAAGCTCAAAGACTTACATTCAAACAGGTGAGATAAGATATATACATATTCAAAAGACAGTGTATCTCAGCAATTACAAGAGATAGGCATAATTACCTAAGATCAGTTTTCTGAGTAAGGAGAGGACAGTTGAGCAAAAACTTCAAGGTGGAAAGGGAACAAGCCTTGCAGACCTGTCTGGGGTAAGGGAAGCACGAGTACAAAAGCCTACTGCAGGAATGTGACGTGCCTGGAGTGCTGGCGGCGTCCCAAGTATAGCAAGAAGGCCACTGTAGCCGGAGAATAAGAGGGGAATAGTAGATAATGAGGCAAAAGAGGTGATGAAAAGGCCAGAATGTGGACCACTGTCAAGCCTTGAGCTTTCACTCTGAGTGGGATAGGGAGCCACTGGAGGGTTCTACGGAGAATAACTTGATCTGAGTTTTAACGGGATCGCTCTGCCTTGTTAAGAACAACAGGAAGGGCAAGGGTGGTCACACGCATTCCAACTATGAGATCACACTACTAATCCACGTAAGAGATGACAGCAGCACTGGAAGAGTCTGGATCCTGGATATATATGGAAGGTAGAGCCCACAATATTTGTTGATAGACTGGATATGGGGTATGAGCAAAAGTCAAGGATGACTGCACATTTTCTGATGTAAGCAAACAGAAGAATGGAATTATCACTGACTGAGATGGGAAAGACTGTAATAGGTTTGAAGGGGAACATCAGGATTTCAGCTTAGGACATGTTAAGTTTGAAGAAGTTATGGAAATGCTGCAATAACAGGCAATAAGAAATATGTGCCTAGAGCTTAAAGAAGATATATAAATTTGGAAATTTTCAGCAAATATGTAGGCAAAGCCATGAGACTAGATAAGATCATCAAGAAGGTAAACATAGACTAAGAAAAAAAAGGTACATTAACGAAGCATCTGGAGGTGCCAACCAGTTAAGGTTGGGGAGATAAAGAACAAGACTGAGAAGGAACAGTCAATGAAATAAGAAGAAAACGAGAAGAGTGTAATGTCCTGGAAACCAAGGAGGTAAAGTATCAAGGAAGAGGGGGGCAAGTGGGGGTACTGAGAGGATCTGGATTCAGAAATGTGAAGGTCACTGGGAAACAAAGGAATGAATGACCTTGACTGGAATCTGGGCACTGCCTGACACATGCATAGGAACATGTTTTTCAATAGGGTTAAAGCATCACCATGAGAAACTTAGGTAGCAAAGCTTAGTTAGAGATCCCTTCTTGCTGAGCCCTCCAACTGGATCTCTTATAAACTGTCAATCAAATCCTGAAAAACATCCAATGAGATGGGTTAAAATACAGCAAAACTTCTAATTATAAAGTAATAGCTCTAAATTCTTATTTTAAGTCCTCAGAGTAAAAGGATAACATTCGCCTTATTTTTAGTTCCAGGGCATCTAGATCTATTCTGGGCTAAGTAATAGTAATGCATTCAGCAAGTATTTACTGTGCACCTATGTATTGGGCAATGTGAATATGGCAGTTAACAGGATGACCAAATCTTCCCACTTAATGTGAAGTTTTAAAACAGGCTTTAAACAAATGATCACAAATATGATGGTTGTTATGAAATGGGAAGTGCAAGAAGCAATCTATACCTATTTGACTTGATTGATTTTTATATATAATTGTGTCTGTAGCAAGAGTCTGAAAATGAATGACAGTAAGTACCAGTTTCAGTTCTGCAGTATAAACTGTATTTCCAGTTATTTTTTCTGGCACTCATTCTCAACTCACTGGTTGATATAGTGCTGTCCAAATGCCTCTTGAACAGAATGTAAAGAAATTAACTGGAAAGGAAAAGGCTTAAAAAAATCCCCAAAGCTCCAGTAGACCTAGAATAATGCATTTAAAACCCTTGGCTCAATTTAAAAATAGAAGCTGTAATTAGGGAAATTAAATGTCGTAAACAGTGGAGAGTTTGGTCTCTTACCTTGATCGCCAAGTACAAGAGCACCCGCTTCCAAAGCAAAATCTCCAGAGGAACTATCTTTTGAAAGAGTTACAGTCAAACCAGAGGCAGTTGTGGTATTACCACAAACATACACACCACGTGGAGCAACGTTGCATACTGCCTAAGGAAACAAAAGGTTTAAAAGAATCAGCCAGTGGTGTCTGGGTGGCGCAGTTGAGCGTCAGGCTCTTGGTTTCAGCTCAGATGGCGATCTCAGGGTCGTGAGATCGGGCCCTGCGTCGGCCTGCGCGCTGGGCATGGAGTCTGGTTGGGATTCTCTCTCTGTCTCCCTTTGGCCCTCACCCACCGCGTGCTCTCTCTCTCTCAAGTCTTTAAAAAATTTTTTTTTAAAAATCAGATAAAGTAAAAGGGAAAAAATAGCTAATAGTGACTGCTCACAAATATCAGCTATATGCCAAGTATTCTTCTAATAGCTTTATTGTACAATCTTTATTACCACAGTTAATAGAAAGGTATTATTACACCCCCATTTTGTGACATAGAAAACCAAGGCCTGCAGAGAGTAACTCACATTGCTGTGAAGGTGTGAAGTGAGGATTCAGTTAAACCCAGGCAGCCTGTCTCTGATGTCTACAGTCATGTGAACAC